TAATAGAACAAATATAAAAACATACTATATATGCTTTCTAAATAGATTAGGATAGAACCTATAGGATTCCTGTAATATTTATATTAAATCTATAATACTAGCTAGTAAAGACTTTAATAACCTTAATAAGACTTGAATTACGAGCCTGGCCCTCAGATTTCCCGCTTAACTTAAAGATTAAGTAGTTTATAATAGGTTACCTATTATAGAATATATTATACTCTTTTCCTAAAAAGTACTAGGTACTAGTAATAGTCCGGAAGCCCTAAAGCCCTTGAGACTCTTTATAAGTTTCGGGCTTTAGGGCTTTTTTATAGCCAGCTAATTATATGGAGTCACGTGACTATACGGGTCTACTACTAAGTTAAAGCAATTAGTATTCTTATATATAAATATAGTATAGTTCTTAGTATAGCTAGCTTTATTTATAATATATTTATATATAAATACCTATAATTTAATAATATAAATATAATATCTTCTTTAAATAAAGATAAAATCTTTATTTTAAAGATAATCGGATCTATTATATTACTAAAATATAAGGGCAAAATATAGTAAATACCTACTATATCTTCTTATTATAATTTAAAGCAAATATATTAGTACTTATATAATAGCTAGTATAATAGTATAATTTACTAGAAATAGGGAATCGGAAATAGGTATAAAATAGAGCTAAGCCGGAATACTTAAATAAAAGAATACTAAAAGGTCGAGATATTTCTTTTTTTTTTTACTTTCTAGCTTAGTATTTTTAATATATAAAATTTATTAAACTTTAAGCCTTTAATTATTATATTAATCCCGCTATTATAACTGGGATCTATTATTCCTTTACTAAACTATAGGGGCAAAATATAGTAAATACCTACTATATCTTCCTATTATAGTTTGAAATAAGGACAAAAAAAGTACTAGGATCTATTACCCCTTTACTAAACTATAGGAACAAAATATAGTAAATACTTACTATATCTTCCTATTATAGTTTGAAGTAAAAATAAAAGAAGTAAGTTATATTCCAGAGATTTACTAGGTTAGTAAGGATTTATATATTTAATAGAATTAGATCTAGTCTAGAATTAATTCTTTTTAGTATATAGTTATACTAAAATATAAAGCAAACTATTATATTAATTAAACTATCTTATATACTTTCTTAAAATTCACAAATATTCTATTATATATATATATCTCTTTACTATATTTCCCTTTATTATTAAGGAATAGGTATACTAAAGAGTGGCCTGAAATTCGCAAGTATAAATATATCTATAGCTGCCTTTAGTATACTTCTATTATTATTATACTTATTCTCTCGTCTCAAGATTATCCTAATCTTAGTATAGAACTAATACTCGTAGTTTAGTAAATCTCTCTAATAATACTAAAACCCTTTAACTAAGGCATTTATTATATTTAATTACCGCTCTAACTTCTTTATATAATAATTCAAGTAGCTAATACTCTAAGGGAGTTCTAATACGAGTTCCTAATTCTCTCGGTTATAAATATTCTTAATAGTAATTATTCTATTATAAGTAGCCGCCTAATATAAAGTATTAAGGCAAAGAACTAGATTCTAGTAATAGGGTAAACTTTACTAAGAACTTAAAGTAGGTTATTAAGGGCCGGATATTAAGGGAGAAAAGCTACTATAGGGAGAATTCCGAGGTATTAGGGGGCGTCTAGAAGAAATAGGGAGTTATTAGCTAAGAAGGCTTAATAGTAGCCTAGTATATAGTAAAAAGAATATAGAATTAAGTAATATATTACCTAATTTATTAGAAGCTATAGAACTCTCTATATTCATATCTATATAGAAGTTAGGTATTTCATTATTAGATAGAGAGACTAATTCTCCTCTTCTTAGAACTAAGGGCAAACCTATAATAAAACTGGATTATTATTAAATATCCTAAAGTAAGGAAATAAAGAAATTCATATATTATTAAGGAGAAGTATTTATAGGTAAGAAGCTAGCCAGAGAAGTTTACTATTAAATAAATAAAAATAAAGCAGGCTAAAACTAAGGTTATTAGGGAGGAAGTAGAGATTAAGACCCTAATCTAGATAATTAAGAAGGAGGGCAAATTAGGGTAACTATAGCAGGTACTAGTAATATAAAAAGAGGCTAAGAAGGAAGGCCAGGGTTAAGTGAATTAATAATAGTAGCTCCGTACTAGAAAGCAGGTAAGTTAGAGTATATATAGTTAGTATACTTATTAAAGAAAGAAATATTATTACTATTATAAATAGGATAAAGGATAGTATTAGTAAAGTACTTAATCCTATAGATAGTATAATAAGTATATCCTTAAGCTTAAATACTATAAATATAAGCCAGAATGGCCAGCTATTACCAGATTTATAGTAGCTAGGGGCTTAAGCTAATATAGTTTATAGGGACTTAAACTTGATCCTAAAGCAAAGCTTAGCTAAAGATAAAATTAGGATTAATTTAAGGAATTATTCTTAAATAAATATACTTACTAGTTATTACTATTTTGACTTAGTAATACTTATATTAATAGTAAGATAGTATTTAAAAATATAAAGGAAGAAAAAGTTAAGGTAGGGTAAGGAGGTTTTTTTATATTTATAGAACAGGTATATAAAATATTTAAGTTCGCCTATTTACTCGTATAATTTATACTCGATATACTAAATTTTATAGATATAAGTAAATAGAATATATTTAGAACCTATTATAAATTATTATATTACTTTAGATAAACTAATTTAGGAAGGTACTCCTTATTTTAATCTATCCCGAGGTAAAAATATAGTACCTCCGTTTACTATATTTTAAGCCTATAGTAGATAAAGGTACTATTTTTTATATATAATAAGTTCTAGACTTCAAAAGTAATAAAGGGGCATTATATAGTAAATCGCTATAATAAATAGCTCGAAAGGCTCTTAATTATTATTCAAATATTAGAGGTTATACTTACTAGCTAATATTATAATTTGATTATAAATTGGGAAGTAGTCTATTATATTAAAATAAGGATTTTCTGGCAAATTACTCTAGTCATGAAGTTATAGGGTCTAGGATAAGCAGGGTCAATGATTTAAAATAATTAAAACCTAATAATGCCTTTGGTTTTACTAGAGGTTAAGAGAAAATATACCATAAGCCTATAAGACCCAAATTTTTTTTTAACTAATTGCCATATACCCAAATTTGTCTGGTATAATATCGTCGAGAACCGTCTAAGTTCCTTTACTTAAGGACTTCCATATCCGGTACTAGATCTCAGTGGGGAGTCTGGTAAAGAGCTCCCTGGGGGGCAGTGGGGGGCAGCTCCCCAAGGGGCAGCTTACTGCGATATATAAAGAGCTCTCTGGGGGAGAGCTCACTGTAATACCTATAGAGCTCCTTAGTGGGCAGCTCCTTGGGGGGCAGTTCCCTTGGGATAGCTCTCTGGGGGTGGTTCCCTTGGGACAGCTCACTGCAATATATAAAGAGCTTCCTGGAGGGCTGCTCTTGGGGGGGAGGGAGGGAGGGGGGGGGGCGGGGGGTTGGGGGATGCAGCTTCCTGCGGGGCAGCTTACTGCAATACATAAAGAGCACCCTATTAATAGTAAGTACGAGTCTAAGTATAATTTCAGTGTAATTCTATGCCTAATTTTAAGTAGCATGCAATTCGTAGTTTTGATTTCGCGGTTTTAATGGTTTGAAGGTTCGCAGTTTTGCAGTTTGGCCCTTCACCGCCTAAAATCCTGCCCTACTTCACCGCCTAAAATCCTGCCCTAGCTGTACGTGCCACCGATTTTTGCGGCAGCTGCAATCGCCCCTTTTCTCCCTGTCGCCAATTTATCTTACAAATCATCGTCAATTCAACAACTCCAGAAGACAAAAATAGCCATTCATCCTTAATGATGCTGTGGAAGGCGAGCCACTTAAGCAGGCGGGAAAGCAGGGGCTCTGGAGGAAACGAACATGATGCCATCAGATATGTCACCATTGGAATGTCTTCTGTTTTTTTAGAGTTAGCAGCTGAAGCGTATATCCACCCGTCTGACTGCTGATAGATTTGGGAAGGCACAGTACCTTGAACTCATTTGCATAAAGCTTAATGTTCAACCGTTCCGATTGACGGCCCGGAGTGCAGTTGTTTCTCGCAACAGCTTCCGGAACCAGCGAATCAGAACTGCCACTGCGGTGTCGGGATCAGGAACGCTTGGTAACAAGACTATATAAATTCTGGAGTTGCTATATTGTGCCTAAGAGGAACATTAGTGTTCTTTCTTAACATGAAAGAGGATGGTCATTGCCAGCCAACCTCCTAAACTCATCGCAGTGGTTTCAATTGAAACAAATGAGTACCATAAAGTTGGGTACAAACTTTGAGGCTCCCAGGTTGAACAATTGGGCTGGCGGAAAAGTTGTTGCAGTTCTTCTTTGGCTTCAAGAATGGATCTACCCGATCACACGTTTACAACATGAAGCCATTATTTGACAAATCGCATCTGTGGTAGTTTAGAACCTCCTGGTTTCTGTGCCTTCCTTATTCTTCCGTTTCGTTTGATGTCTCTCATATCTCCACAGTCATAGCTCCGCGTTTCTTACCTTTAGCCCTCGGCCGTCAGAAAAGCGGTATTCATTGTTGTTCCAAGTCAAGTTGGACATTCCTCTTTGAATGGCTCAGAGACTTCAGTACATTGAAGTCTTTCTCAGATAATTGTTCAACATTGACGGGGGAGATTGGGTTTTCAGTGCCGTTTGAGCGGAATCTTCCGTTTGAGAAATCACCTTCCTCTCGGCTGAGACTTCACTCATGCTGCGCTGCTCTAACTCGCCCATCGCACTAGAGGTAGTCTTCTTCTTTCCGAAATCGCACTGAATATTTTCTTACAAACTCTCAAAACCTACTCTCCTTGTTCTTCATCACCAGGACACAATCACACTTCCTTCTTCCCCATCACCAAGAACAATCAATCACTCTCGATACTCACAGCTAGCCCTGACTTCCTCCCATCTTCTCAAGATGGACCTCCTTCTTTTTTTGTTCGTCGCCCTCTTCTCTGGATTCCTGCCAGCTCACGGTGCTGAGTTGCGGGATGTTGATAAATTCTGCTTCAATATCACCATTCCTGTCAATGTTACCTCGAACAACTTCGTCTTCGGCCTCCCAAAGTTCTCTAACAACCTCGATGTCACTGCGCTCAACATTGAGTTCAATACTCGAGGTGTCGCTGCCGCTTTGAATCCATTCGCCGGTACTCACAACGAGACTGCTGCCTATCAAATTGCCGGCACCTATTGTCGACCCAGCTACAACAAACCCTCAACACTTCTCTTGGCAACCCACGGCGCCACTCTTGATAGATAGTAAGAAGCAGACCCATTTTCCTGAACAGCGCGGGTACAGTGGTGTTGTTGAAGCTGGGGCTGATTGTTCGCAAAGTTATTGGCACTTCCCCTATCAATCTTCCAAGTACAGCTTCGTCGATTTTGTTGTTTCTAAGGGTTATTCGGTACTCTTCTACGATAGAGTCGGAGCTGGCGAGTCTACTAAGTAAGTCCATTCCTTACTCGCGCTTTCCTTCTTAGCAGTATCGTCGCTCCATCCTCATATTATATTGCTCATTCTTCCATAGACTCAATGGCTATGTTTCTCAGATCCCAATCCACGTCGCAGTCTTGGAACAGTTGATTCAATACGTACGATCAGGCTGTCTGAGCTCTTATGCGGGAGGCGTGACACCAAAGAAGATAGTGTTGGTCGGCCATAGCTTGGGTATGCATATTCCTCCACACCCTTGTGGTAGATTCAAATCCCTGTCCCCTCCAAACCGAAGTTGCACAAGTTGCGGTACATTCGACCCGCCTGTGTCCCGGATATCTCGCGAGTTCTTGTACACTCAAGGACGCACCCTACGCAGGCGCCTCGAAGCGTTGCGCACATTCATAAAGCTGACTCAAGACCCAGGTTCTATTGTCTCCAACGCCTTGCTAGCATCGGCCAATCCGACAATTGTGGATGGAGCTGTTTTGACTGGCTGGTCTCTCAACTCTGGCCTTTTGGCTGGAGCTCCGGGTATTTTTGCGGCTACCCAACTCAAGATTGCGAACACAGTCAATCCTTCTCGCTGGGGTGCTTACGACAATGGTTGGGTTACGGTCATCGACATCTACTCCTGCATTCAATTGTATGTACATTATAAGACCTGTAAAATGGGCTCAGTCAGGATGATTTTAGTGCTAATAGCTACCCTGCAGGTTCTACAAGATCGGCTCTTTCGATTTTGCAACTGCCCAACTGGCATTGGCCTCAAGCTGGCCGATCTCGATCATGGAGTTCTTCACCCTCTTCGCCATGAACTTCGTCTCGCAATCTACCATCCCAGTCCTGTTCTTCACGTAAGTTTCTCGCACACAGCCAATATAAAGGAACTAATTGTTCCGTAGAGGCTCGAATGATATGGTGATCTGCCAGGGAGACTGCAATGGTGTTTACGCCAATGCTGTTGCGCCTCTCTTCCCAAAGTCCGTGGGTTTTGAAGCCTACATTCAGCCCAACACTGGCCACATTCTGACCACAGCGGTAAGTCAAGGGCACCTGGTCTTCCTGAATGCGCTCATAGTCTCTAGTACAATGCTACGGGAGGTTATAGGGTCATCACCGATTACCTCAAGAAGAATGGCTTGTGATCTTTTGTTGCCGAGGCCAATTACGTGACCACTGTACCATTCGAGCTGTGCATTAATCGTTGATGGAAAAGCCTATTGCTCCGGAGAGTGTTTGATAAGCATAGCGACGTTGGGCCGAGATTAATGGCTTTCAATTGCTTAGATAATGATAATATGAAATCCCTTCAATAGCCCGGTCTTTTGCGTGTACTTTCTCCAATGCTCTAATCGTAAATTTAATTACATAGCTCCATGACCTGTCAGTTTAATATATTATCATAAGTAGCTGGGGAGTAACTGTCGCTTAGTTCTCGTATTTTAAGCGAATTGCACCAAAAGCCAGTACTCTAAGAATACCAACTTATTATTCCACACAAATATATTAAAACCAGATCTAAGAATTAAAACATAGACTATTTAGAATGATTCCAATTGTTCTATTACCTTGGAATTAAAATTAAAATTAAAAGTAATGTATTAAAGGTTTACCGAGGGTAAAGGTACGGGGTGGCGTAATTAAGCGAAAATAGGGGTAAAATCACGATGGAACACTCTTCCTAGGATTTACTCCATAATTAACCTGTGATCTTAGCTTATAAACACTAACAAAGAGATAAAAATGTACGGAATACTCGGATTAGTTAGGTACTAATTAGGTGTTACGTGAAATTGATGCCTTTACCATAAAACTCGGAAGTGAATCAGGTGACTTTTGCGTAAAACCAGCAAAACACGAGAACTCAGTGACTAGTACTGTAATCGCTTTATTGGGCAATACCGCTGAAACCAATTGCCATTTCACCAATTCTTCGAGTGGATATCGTACAACAAGGTAATCTTAGTCCACACATCACCGTCTCCTCTCACCCACGCTTCTCCTCTCACCCACGCTTCTCCTCTCACCCACGCTTCTCCTCTCACCCACGCTTCTCCTCTCACTTCCGCACACTCCTTCCATCCTCTTATCATATTTACATCTTCCTCCGTGTCCAATCCTCTCTCTCCCCCTATTATACCCCTCGCTCCTCCTTCCCCCATGTCCCCCATGTCCCCTCTCCCTCCCCCTCCCCTTCCCCTTATCCTCAAACCTCTCCGGATGTTGCTTTAAATCATGCTCCGCCTTAACCCTCGGGTAACACCTAGTCCCAAGAAATCAGAGTCAGCATGCTTATTCCCGGTATTTCAAGAGTAGTTTGTTCCAGGAGTTGTTGAACATTGCTACAAGAGGTATTTAGCCCGAGAAATTGGGTCTTACGCAATAGCCGCCAATATCGCCAGAACAGCGGCTTTCAAGCCCGCTTCCTTGAGGTCGAAACGTGGGTTCGCTTTCTCGATTGCCTTGCGTTTGGCACGGTGGAGGGGATGGGCTTGCGAGGGCCGGAAATCGGGGATGTTTATTAGGCCGTATAACATTTGCATTTGTGCTTGGTCCGTCTGCGGAAAAGAGTTGCGCTTGTTGCTTGTGGTATAAAGGGACGGTGCTGAGCCTGGAGAATGTGTCTGCAAAGGCTTGGAGTTGCGTAGAGAGAGAGATGTACTTGTTGCTGGTGGTAGAAGAATTTATAATTGCTGAAGCATGGAGCAGTGACTACCTCCCGTAGGCTTGCACAAGCTTCGGATTGCGTTGCAAACTGTTGTAAAAAGAAAGAGCAAGAACAGAGAGTATATAACATGACGGACGAGGAACAACATACCCGGCAGATCGCAATTCTACTATCACAATCCCCAAGAAAGGTCCATATCAGCGTCGTTGTCACTAACCCTTCCAGGGACCCCGCTATCCCGACATCATATCCACCGCGTTGCCTCCCCCAACCCCAGCAGTTCAGCTCTCCGTCCACCAGAATTTGTAACAGGAACCTATCAATCCCTCCATACAATTGCATAGCGGAGAAGATAAAAGAGAGGAGCGAATTACAGACGCTGCTGACCGCTAGGATGACCTCAGTGATCGTCGGCAGGCAGGACGGTAGCGAATGAGGGGTTGAGGACCCCAGGAATTCTGGTACAGTAAAATGCATCAAGCTGAGCCACGCAATGCTGTGGAACGCGAAATTCTTGATTGGGGGTGAGAATGAAGAGGAGGAAGAAAAGCCTTGTGCTATAAGGTGGGATAGGGGTCCTTTTCGGGCATTTTGTGTTGGAGTTTTGTTGGCAAGTTCTTGGATGGTTTGGTCTCACTGCATGAAAGCGGATGAAAAGAAATCCATGGTAATAAGTTTTCGCCACAGTGCCTCCAAAGCTCACTCATTGACCAAGCTCAACCTTCTCTACCGCCTTCGTGACCTCGTCTTCCTTCAGCATACCTCTCCTCCAATCCCAATAATTCTTCCGAATCCGATCATACTTATCTCCTAGCAGCCTTAGCGCCTCATCGGCTTTCTCGGTTTTACCCTCTTCCGCCCACACATCTGCAAGGAAGTCCAATGCATGACTGCTCCTGATATCCTCTTCTCCATCTTCTGGGATCTTCACAAACTCGTTCGCAAAACATTCTTGAGAAGATAACTTCCTTCCTCCCTTTCTCAACACACCTCTCAGGTAATTCCACGGGCTCTGATTCTGCGGCGCTTCAAACGTAGCAGCTTTGCTAAACTCTATCTCACGGTCTATAATCTCGTCTGGAATCCTGGGATCATGTTCAGTGGCTCTGCTACCAGAGGTGCTATGCTTCGGGTCTGAGAATACCACATAGAAACGATGAGACCAAGCACTGTTATTCCTAATATCTGTCCTCAGTAACGTCTCTATCGACTTCAGTTCAGCATCGTTGAATAAGTTGAGTTTTCGCACGAAATATTGCCTGTAGCTCCAGACATGATAGTTTTTTGCATCTTCATCGAACATCTGGGTCATGAACTCGATTTCGGATTCTGTTAAGTCCTGGAGAGCGGCGGAATCAGAGGAGATGCCGGGGTAAAGGTGGTCGAGGAGGAGCTGACGGTGGTGCCAGATTTGGTAGTTCTTCTGATTATCAAGGGCCACTTCATTTATCCAGTTCAGTTCTTGCGAAATGTCTGCGTTGAGGGCGAAGATGGTGGAGGCCCGGTAGAGCCAGACGGTGTAGTGGGCTGCGTTCATGGATATGATGTGTTCAGTGAGGTCTAGCACTCGTTGGGAATATTCCTTTGCAGCCATTACCGCGCGGAGGTAGCCCATAGCTAGGAGAACAATCAGAAACGTTTTTATAAATATGGTTAACAACTCACCTTCTGCATACTCATCCGTATAGGCGATTTGAGCCAAAGCCCCCTCCCCATCATCTTGCGGTATGGGAACCACATCATCCCATTCAGGATCACCCTCGTATTTCCCCATTTTCTTCCCTTGCAAGACCCCAACCAGCTTCCTGAGATTCCTTTCGTCTTCAATATTCCCAATATCCCTTTGCTGGCCAAGCTTCCTCCTCTTTTGCTTAAACTGGGCACTCTTCTCCCTCAGAGTTTGTAGATCGCCTTCCTTCTTCTGGTAAAGCCGGTATTCCTCAGGCGTATAGCTTCTAATATCTCCACCTTTGCTGTCCTTCCCTAAATCCTTCGGCTTTGGTAAGGGAATGGGTATCTTCTGCTGTTCGACAGATTTCCAGAATTCTTTCTGTTGCGGGGCAGGCCACGTCTTCCACGCACTGGTTTCGAGGAATCGGTAGTTTGCGTAGCCTGCTTTTTCGTTGGAAGTGAGGTTGGAGAGGCCTTTTGTATCTTTGAGGACTTGGTAGGGTCGGGAGGCTTGGTATTCAGCTTCGAGTTTTGCGGCGATGGTGGGGTCTGTTTGTGGCACCTTAGTTGTTGGCTCTTGTGCAACAAGGAAGCTGAAATGGCAAATAATTAGAGCAGCAATCTGGTATACGTACACTCTTTGGGTGGTTCTGGGGCTTTGGATTGAGGTTTTGGACCTTTGGAGGCTTTGGGAGCCATTATCGTGGTGAGGTGGGGTGTCTGGGGGGAAGGCTTTGGGTTCCGGGGAATGTCAGCCTCGGCCTCGTCTCGCGACGAAAATATTTGAAAGCTTCAAGAGACAATATTAAGGTGTAGTTCGGCAACGATTTGAGGAATTAGTCATTATAATTTGATTATTTCACTCCCTATTGGTACAAAGAATCGAATCGTTCCATTACCATACCCATCATTAATGTAAGATTTTATACAGCCTGTTGCTGTTGCCAGCGATTTTGTGTCTAATCCTCTACTCTCCAAAATTTCCAAGCTTCTCTATCACCACCCTCCCCTTGAACCCCAACAAGTTCTTCAACGCCTTCAATACCATTAGCGTTCAAGAACTTATCTTGGTCGATTTCTTCTCCTCCCATGTCATCTTCGGTTCCATTCTTAAGCACTGCAGGCCAAAGAATGCCAACTCCATCACAACCCAGAGTGGTTTCGAATCTGCGGTAGTTTTCCCTGTCAAGGGTATCCTCCAAACGCTTCAATCTCTCCTGCGAGACACCCGGCTTCAGAAGAGTAATAGCGCAACCCCCGCCTCCTGCACCAGTGAGCTTCGTCCAGCCAATGCCTTCATGATCGACAAGCTCCCGTATGCGTTCCAATCGAGGATGTGACACTCCCAAAGCAACCAAAAGACCATGATTGATCGTCATCAGTTTTCCCAAGTCTTCTAAACTTGCCATTTCTTCACTATCAAAATCGTCCCGGCGAATGAGCTCTGCGGCACCCTCCGAGACTTTGTCTATCGCATTTAGGATCGACTCCGTAATCTGTGGGTGTGCTTTTTTCAACGCAGCCACCTTTGCAAGCTCTGCCGCGGTTGATTTTGGTTGTCTGGTATCCACGAGGAGGAGAGGGAGCTCAGGGAAATTCCATAGTGACTTCACCCTGGGTGGCTTTGAATAATCCGTCCTCTGAAAGACCACAGCTTTTCCCTGCGTTGCAACCGTATTATCAACGCCTGATGGATTGCCATGTATGCACATCTCGCCAACAAATGCCCATCTGTTTATTCGTTCGATTTGAAGACGTGCTTCTTCGGAAGGCTGATCTGGATGTGGCCCTGAGAGTGTCCGGATTTGGAGGAGAAGCGCAGAAGCAAGGCAAACAGAAATAGATGCACTGCTCCCGAGTCCGGCAGCGATTGGAATTGTTGAGCGAAGTGTGTATAAACATCCTGGAAAAGATTGCGACCCAAGAGACAACAGAAGATATAAAAAGCATGAAGCGGAATTCTGGTGAACCTTACGAATATCGTCAGGCTGATCTAAAGAGACGTCGGCCAGATGTGGTTTCATTGCAGCAACTAGCTCAGGGTCGAGAGAGGTGACAAGATCGTAGTAGTACTTCTTCTTTCCCGGCTGGGAGAAGGTGCTCCATGGCAAATCATCGAGATTCCACGTGTGCGAAAGATTTATGTCAGGGAATCGGAGAGATATTGTTCGTTTTGATTTCGATAGTGCTGTGACAAGGAGGTAGGATCGCAGAGAAACGGCTGCTGCAATGGCGGCCTGAATCGACGGTCAGCCTTGTCTCACCGACGATGGATTTTCTGATGTACCTTGCCATAAACTACTGCATGTTCTCCAAAAACGATGACTTTGCCAGGCGCAGACACCATGAACGGCGGCATCATAGGAGTTGACTGCTTCCTGTCCAAAGGGATTCCCCTCCGAGTCTTCCTTGGGCCATTGACCTCTGTCTTTTCCATATCTTCAGTGATACCGTTGACCGACTGTGCACTGCTCATGCGGGGCGGCATGTCCAGAGACGGAGAAGCAGAGGGACTCGTATCAGAGGGTGTCTCGATCTGCAGGGAAGTCGTACTCGAGCTTGATCGCGAATGAGTCTTGGTCTTGAGGGGTTTTCCACCGATTGACCGTCTACTCTGATTACTGGTCATTGCATGCTCTGCGAGGTCGGGCGCGTCTTGCAAAACGAGTGACAAAGGATGTTGCTAGTGAATGACGAGTGGCATGCTTGATCGTTGGTGAGATACTGCAATTTGGCATTGACAGGGGGGATGGAAAGGTCGTTGCCGTTTCCGGCGGGCTTGGAATATTTTGCCGGGGTGTCTAACGCCTTCATGCAGGTCGAGTCTCACGTCGATCTCGATCTCGATCTCAGACAACCAAACCGCTGGGTTTGGAAGATTGTGAGCTGCTTTTTGTCTTCAATAAATCCTTGAAATAGTTGACCAAGGGCACGCTGTAGAAGCAGAATTTCTAGCTGGGTGGTACGTGCTCTGTTTAGCTTGCTCAGGCTCTTCCACAAGTGAGTGGTAACTAGGCAGGCAGCGACATTAAGATTCAATTATTCAACAGATCGGACGAGTCCGCTCTCCTTGCTTGCCTTGACACACTTCACTCTTTGTACACTTTCTAGATTTAGGGCCGTTGTGGTTTTCAGGGACAGGAACGAGACCCCACAATACATATGACAAGGTTCCTGCTTGGTGGCAGCACTGAAGAGCTGCACTAAAATTGTCAGCTAATGGTACACGCTACTTACTACTCGAGGCTGCTCCATTTGGAACATTAGTTTAAAAGACCAGAGTATCACCAAACCAGGTCTTAGACTGATTTAAGGATGGTTTTCCCCCCTAGGCAAGATAGTTGCCTCATTGGACTCGACACAGAGCCCCTTTACAACCCCTCGGCAGCCCTCGGATGCTTAACCTCAAATCCACTTGCGAACCCCACAATCTCCCTATACTTCACAATTCCCTCCGTCTTTGCAAACTCCGTATGATTCTCCACACTCTCAAAACCGGAAAATAGCACCCACTCCTCTCTCTCCTCATCTTCCTTCTCAATCCTCCAACCTCCCACGACACCATACGGCTTCGTAAAATCCTCCAACAGTCCCCTGACTTCGTTGAATTCCTCGATGAATCCAGCCTTCTTCTCCTTCGGTACAAGACGTCGAATGCAGCTGCTGGCTGGAGCTGTGAAAACCCATTCAGCACCAGATGGTACTGCGAACACATCATGGTCCAGATACCATTTTACATCTTCTTGCCTTCCTTTTCTTCAATGTACACATCTTCCTTGAAGAGTTTCAGCAATTGCTGGTTCTCCGCCGAAGGTAAGAACGCCTAGGGAGTCAGCGGTTACTCGATACAAATTGTTTCGGGGAGGTTGGGGCAATAAGTACAGACTGTCTCAGGAAACACTGGGCATTGGAATAGGAATCAGTTTCTCTCGCCACACCTACGTAGTGTGCCTCGGGGGAATTCCATCTTCCGGTTATGTAGATGATTCAAGGGCCTTCAATTTGCTGGAAATAGTGAAACTTGTGCTTGGATGCTTTCTCCAAAACTTCCCTCGCAGTTTGGAGCTTTTCAACAGAAGGACATCAACTGATCAAAAAGAATTCTTGGGAAAGATGCTCTCGATCATATAAAATTAAATGACGGCACGGAGAAGGATCGGTTTCTCCATAGTAAGGGAGTCCCCGCTAAGCGGAAGGTTAGCGAACTCCGTAGCGGGCATGTCTGTTGATTTGCTTGTTCGCGAAACTGGGGAATATTGAGGTGTGATTTTCAATGAGGAGTTTGAAGAAAGCAAAGAACAAATCAAGGATGGAACCTCATGAAGGATGCTCACGTGAATAGAAGGCAGCACTACCTTACGTAGGGAATCGGCGATTTCCGGGCAATGGATCGGACCTAACTTGTCCTCGCCGCAAGCTAAGAGATGAGGCCACCTTCGAATCATAGATCCGATATGCAATTGTGAAGTCAGTAAGCAGTGTCCTCGTTTAGGAAAGTCAAAAGAGCAAGGTGCGTAGAAGGACGCGCTTCGACTTTGGTTTGGTTGACCATTCGTATTCGCCCTGCTATCTCATCGCAGCGCAGCAGTTCAGTTGTGCCATTGCCATGGTATGCCAGACGCCTTTTGCGAAAAGTCAATGCACAACACCTTCATGATCTCCACTCCATCAAGTCAAAGCCCCAAGACTGTCATTCCTTATGCTGTTCGCTTTCCTTTGGCGTTCTTCTTGGGGGTATCGGCGATGGTGAGACCTGTGGAGAAGAACATATCAGCAATTGGTTTTGATCAATTGGGCTTTGAAGAACCGTTGACAGTTCTTCGAGTCCCCAGCTCCACCTGATGCTAAGAGCTCTGTTCTCCTGAATCTCAGAAGTGCGTTGTAATGGGCGGAGACATACTGGGCGGTAGGGATTGCTTCAACTTCTCGACCTTCTCCGAATCCTTCAAGACGAGCGTGTAGAGGTGTCGTGAGCAGCGGACCTTGAACTTGGTTTGGGATGTCTTCTTGTTGCGCTTTATGCGTGCAGCTGATCTCTATTAGTCTTCGTTTGCAGATCTCGCATGCCCTCCTTCAAGCCCATTTCCAATCCCCTCGATTCCCATCATTCTTCTAGGTATTCTCGCAGCTGGTGAAAACATACAGGAAGCATCCTTGCGTCTGCAAATCTCAATGAACTATTCTCCCATTAACATCTCTCCTTCCAATCTCCCTCCTCCGCGCACTGAGAGGGCCAAACTCACGTTCTTGATGTCGGAGATTTCTTGAGGCATTTTGGCGGTTTGTAGACTTCGTCCTTGGGGAATTGAAGGTTTCGAGATGGTTGTGTTGAAGTCGAAATTTCGTTGTGGGAGAGTTAGTCAGCGGCTCGGCTATTCCGATAAGGTGAGGCGCAGGGCGCTAGGGCGCCCGGCGCCACAGTCATGTGGCTGGTGACGCGGCATTGAAGGCAGGAAGGGTAAAGTATTTTGTGAATGTGTTCTTTCCGTTTCCTATATTTGTGGCTTTCCACTTAATGACTTGAATCTTCTCTCAATTCTGGAGTTGACTTCATTTGCTTTCCAAACACGACAGATTTCAAGCGAGACTTTCAAAATCGTACTTGCCTGACATCATTGACGCCACCTCCACAAGAACTGAAATCCCAAAATGCCGACTCCTTTAGACAAGGCTCTGAATTCGAAGGTACATTGCTCTTGAGACTATGTAGAGACGTGTTGCTAATTTTCCCCATAGAAAGCAGTCATCGGTATGAACTCTCATGGCAGAACGTCAACCGTGATTATCCACTAACTGGCTCAAGTCTTCGGTAGCATCGTGACAGCAGTTGCCGCATGGTCTATTTGGGGACAAGATATGTTCCCAAAGGAAGGAGACCCTACTGGTGGTATGTTGCCCCTCGTGAAATTTGATATATGCTGATGAGATTCTCTTTCAGATCCAGAGAAATGGACCAGGGAAGAGTTGCGGCGGTGGCTGGCAGCAGTAAGATCTCTTTTTCATCACCTGTTCCTTTGTACGAGAACATAATCTCCTCGATGCTTGTTGTGTGACTTTAATGGAGCTCGTGATTTGACATACCGCCAGAGTCACGAGTCGAGTCCCTCTCTCCTAATCACCCTTTGCGCCTTGCCACTGTCTATCATGCTCACTTGACTGACATTTTGATTACAGAGAAATCTCCACCCAAGTCCGAATGATACTGACGAGCAACTGCTTGAGAGGGTAAAAGCCAACATGCGTGCTCCGCGAGTCTAGCTAAGGATTCGACCCTCAGCTCGAGGAAGAATGAGTTTCGGACTTCAGCAGCAGGTCCTGACGGGCCTTTCTTCTGGAAACGAGAAAACCGTCCTTGTTTCTGGATTGCGGCTGGACTCCCTGGCTCTCTAAGCCATGTTAACTTATTAGAAGGCTACCAGAGAAAGCCTCAAAATGAGCCAGAATGTTCTTCACAAGCAGGAGCAATCACAAAGCCCGTATTTATCATTCAAATCACGAATTACTTGGCTGCCATTGAAAGCCATCGCATTTATGTTCTATTTGTCAAATTTGCCCTTGCTTGCTCTCCCTCCTGTCGTGGCAAATTGTTGAAATCAATGCGCGTGGAAAGAACCGTATTTGCAGAAATCCGAATTCGTGTGAAATAGTGAAAGTCTCGCCGAAGGGAAAATTCTGCAGCTTGCTCTCGCCAAGACTCAGGCGTTACAGCCACTGCCGAGGAGGGCAACGATCTCTGCCTATATAATACTCATTGTCAGCTCTAAAGGACCAATAGTCTTTTTGGCATTGTTTACCTCCAATTCCGCATTCGTTTGCTCCATTTCCTCAGCCTTTCGAAGCAACGCCTCAACCTGATGGAGTTAGACATGCTTCGCAAAGGTTTATGGCAACTCTCATACCTCATCATGCTCCTTCTTAATGACCATCGCAGCCCGTCTCTCCTCCTCCAGCTTACGATTTCTCTCAGTTGCGGCCGCAAGTTTCGCCTTCGCCTTTATCATTTTTTCTTCAAGGCTAGTCTTTCCCATAGAGGGAGCAACGGTAGTCTTTCTTGGCTCTTTATACTCCGATCGGCCAGCCATGGCTTCGGCCTTTCGCTTCTCACTTTGTGAAAAGCTAAAAGAATCTATTAGAGTAGCGGGCTCCTCGCCCTCTCGGTGGAAGTCATTTTGGTGGGACAGGGGGTAGTCATATTGAACCTCGTGACTGCCATAGCTAACTCTTTGGCTATTCTTGACACTTTCCATGATTTCCATGGGGTCCGCAACTTCTGTGGCTTCCGAGAGTGCTGGTGAAGAGGCTCTAGCTAGATCTGATTCTTGAGATAGTGCTTTGAGATCCTTGATTATCTTTTCGATATTGAGTAAAGGTTCTTGAATGCTAGGCACTTCTAAATTGCTAGATTTATCTTGAGTTAATGCTGCAGTAGCTTGGGAAAATGTATTCAACTTGTTCGAATCGATTGAGATATATTGTCCGAGCGGGAGGGTATGAGTTTGATCGCTAGTAAGAGGATGGCCGAATTCGAGGTTATTTCTCTCTGGTAAGGGTTTCTTGGCCGAGACTGGCGGGGTCAAAGGCTCAAATTCGGTACTTTCGTGGATGGGGGAAGTTGCTCGAGCCTTATTATAATGAATAGCCGTAAAACTATTCTCGGTTGCTATCTCAGTCGTCTCGGTAATCGATTTAGTAGGATTAACTTGGGACAGAGACTCGATTTCTGGTGTATCGCCTTTTGCAAGGAAAGCTCGGCGAGCTGGGCCACCGACCTCACCATGGAGGACTAAATCTTTTTGCTTATTGGCTGACAGAATTTCGTCTGCAGGGTTGGGCTCGATGTCCTCTCCGACTCCATTCTCTTGTGGGGCTTTTGGGACGTAGGTATTGTCAATAGTGCGAGAATTGGCCGTCGGATTAGAATTGCTCGCAGAAGCCTCTCCACCAGTGTGCTTTTTGGGAGAGCTTTGGCTGCCTACCGCCGACTCATTTTCGCAAAGAGACGTCTTAGGAACCTTCTTTTCCTTCTTTCGCTCCTCGCCCTCGACAACTGACGCTTCATCATCCTCTAGCTCATCATTTTCATCGGCTTGAAACTTCTTAGCTTTCGGTCCTTTCTTAGCTCTGGGAGCCTTGGGAGGAGGTGGGACAGGAGTATATGTAGGTACGTTCTCGAAGCCAAGGGTTTCAAGGTTGTCAGTTGATTGGAGGGAGAATATGAGAGTGGCAAAGAGGGTATAATCTTCAGACTTGCGATTATGGATCTCGTCCATCTTGTCCTTTTGCTTCTTCGTCAATTTTGTCGAGTCGACAAAGCTGTGACAATTAGCATTGTACAGCCACCGGTCTATTGAAAGTGCTTACCAAATTTGGAATGGAGGTAGGGGTCCTTCTTTGCTAATATGATTTTTCAACTCCTGCCACGTCGCGTATTCTTCGTACGTATTGAGTGCAGGCGCAGCTTCATCAGCAGCTTCAATTAACCTTTGTGCATCCGCATTCTTGCGCCATGCCTTAACAACAAGGCTGCTTACAGCTGATGTGGTTCCGTTTCGAGTAAGCGCTGCATCTAAGAAAGGTTAGCTATGTTAGTTAAGCATGAGAGAGGAGAGATAGGAAGACTTGCCCATACTTGCGTCTCGTCTCTGGACCTTCATTCCGCAGTATTTGGCTCCTTCGCGCTTACCGGATTTATTCTTGATACCCTGGAAGCAAACCTTATTGATAGTTCCATGGAAGGCCTTGGCCAAACCCTTACTTGAGATGGAAGTCCGAAGAATACCATCAACCTCGAGGTCGAAGACATCAGCTGTGTGTGCGCCAGCTCTAATGTCAACGCTGATAAGGTCACCGGGCGCAGTAAGAACAAAGCACTTGGATGTGCTGCCTGCTGTTAATACCTCATCTTTGGTGAACTCTATCAACTCCTTCTCGCCACCTTTCAGGGAAACCTCGATCTCTCCGGGCTTGCCATTGGCATCGAGGAGACCGTTGAGAGTCTTCATTCTGGCAATGTACGCCTGATTCCAGTCTCGGAAGGAGAAGAGAAAAGGAAAGCAAAGGGGTGCTTGCGATAGACTTGTGACTTGATATGAGAAGAATAGAAGTTGAGGCCGAATTCAGGTAGGGTTTGCGATCGAAGTAAGGTGGGATGAAGCAGGGCAGAATGTGGCAGGGTGAATCAAGACCACTTGCGGAACAAGAAGTAGTAAAAGTGAAGAGTGGAAAGGTGAAAGTCAATGGACTTGGAATAACTTCAATCCTCAAGTTTTTGACGCTGGAGCGACACAGAAGAGATAGCAGTGGAGATGTGGGGGTGGAGTACAATTGACGGCAACGCAGAAGAGATGATGAATAATGGTCGTTGTTAGCGATTTTGTCGATTGGAGTCTGAGGATGAAGAGAGACCAATCTGGGAAAGGTGTAGTTGGGATAGATGTAGTCGGGAGTTGTAATTGGAAAAGTTATTTGGAAGTGACGAGGCCTCTTGCAGTATACGAAGCGGGTGGCCCGAGCATTACCATAACGATAGCTGCACAATTAAGGAAGGAACGGAGGAACTGAAGAGAGTAAGCGAGGGTTACGACAACAAGACAGTTGCAACTCAAGAAGGAGCGAAGGGTCAGAAGAGAGTAAGTTCCCGAGCATTTCTACAACAAGACAATTGAATAGCCCAGGAAAAAATGAAGGAACCGAAGAGAGTAAGTGGCACGAGTGTCTCCACCACAAGACAGTTGAACAACTAAGAAAGGAACTGAGGAAGTGGAAACAATAAGTGGCCCAAGAATACCACAACAAGATAGTTAACAGCCGATGGGGGAAAACATTGAATAAGAGGCCTGAGCTTACACCATAGCAAGGTAGTTGAGCAACTAAGATAGAAGAATGGATAAGTGACCAATATGCCACCACAACAGGATAGTTGAACAATTGAGAAAGGAACGAAGGAAGTGACAAATGTGTTCAACAGAACTAGACAGTCGAATTATTGAGGAAGCAATGAGCGAGGCAACGAATAAGTCAAAGCCAGGAGAGCGAAAAGTAGTTTTGTGATTGAAGAAAGTGGTTTGTTTGCTGTTGCTCGTAAAGCAAGCCATCAGAACACCAAGTTGAAGTTTCGGCTCTTGAAACCCCACTTTTTGAGAGCTCTCTCCTCATTGCCTTGGGACCTTTTGCCTCCTGACTTGGTACGCAGATAAACTCCTCACTCCTTGTTTTCACTCCCAACTTCTTCACCTTCACTGCTCAAAGCACCAATCTAAAATTTTGGCTCTGGATCAGCCACCCTTTGAGACCCTTAGCAGCTTTTGGACCTTGTGCTTCCTGATTTGGTACCAAGACGAACGTTTCCGTAAAACCCCTCGGTTCAGCCCTAGCTTCCTCATCTTCGCTACTTTTGTAATACTTCACACTTCCACTGACCATAGCAACAATGCTCATCTTCTTCCCATCCTTGCTAGGACCAAGTGCCGCATCATCCAGGCCAACATTATAGTTGGGATTAATGACATGGCAGTCGAACGATTGTACTTCGTAGTGCGCTTTCGGAATCTGCGTCTCGAAGATCTTTTGCACTTCAGAGGGATCTGAGATGACATTGCCGTTGAGAGTTATGTCCGGCCTCTGGGGTGAGGTAAGGGTTGGCTTGATATAGAAGCTCGTGATGTTGCCTCTGGTCTTTGGATTGCCTAAAGTAGGGTAGAAGGCATCCACGAACAATTGAGCAGCTTCATAAAGGTCAGAATACAGCATTTGTAGGAAGGGTACTCATTACCATCAGTGGCCACCTTGACTTCTGTATCTTCTGAAAGGTCGGCCATTGTTTTGCTCCGCAGTCCTTGAATGAAGCTTTCCTTTTTAGGAATGGGAGGAGGTGATGATCCCGAGTTTTGTTCCTACCGTTTTGTGTGAAGTTTTCGTTCCGTCAAGGGATAGAAGAGGCGTAGTCAGCCAGACTGTTGCAGGAGATCTCCATCTACGCAAGTGCAGTCAAGACTAGAAGAGTCGGAACCTGAATCGTGGAAAGCAGTGCTTGCTTGTAGAAGATGAGGCCGTATTTGACTTTTTAAAGGTGCTGGGATTCGGGCGGGCTTTGCGGCCGCATGCGGATTGCCTGCCGAATTCCAAAATATTGGAGCATAAGATTCACCATCTCGCCAACCGGCCATGAATCCTCGAATCTCTCTTCCGGCCTTGCGAGGCGCCTTGAGGCCAAGTCTGAAGGGCCAATTGGGTAATGGCTGGGTCTACCAATCTTGTCGGGCGAACAGTCAACCCTGGGCGACCTTTTCCAGCTCGAGGAGATCCCTCGAGAAGCCATATTATATCACGACACCCATTTTCTACGTGAACGCTGGTGAGACCATTCTAAATTGTGTTGCCAGAGAGCTAATTGTGTTCCTACAGCTCCCCACATTGGCCATTTATACACAATGGTCCTCACGGACATCCTTAAACGATGGCAAGTCCTGCGTGGAAAGAGAGCTATCCTCTGCACAGGAACGGATGAGCATGGTATGAAGATACAGCAAGCAGCCGCACAAGCGAAAACACCACCTAAAGAGTTCTGTGACTTGACGGCAGAAACTTTCAAGACGTTGGCAAAACGAGCAGGACTCTCCAATGACCATTTCGTGAGGACGACAGACGAGGATCACAAGGAAGCTGTACAATACTTTTGGCATATGTTGAAGGAACGGGAATACATTTACGAATCTAAACATAAGGGGTGGTATTGTGTCAGCGACGAGACATACTATCCCGAGTCAGCCATTGAGAAGAGGTTGGATCCTTTGACTGGGAGGACATTTATGGCTTCCCAGGAAACAGGAAAGGAGGTCGAATGGACCTCGGAGGCCAATTACCATTTCCGCCTTTCAGCCTTTCAGGACCGTCTACTGGAATTCTACAGGGCAAACCCCAATTTCGTCGTTCCAGTATCACGAATGCACGATGTTGTCCGATGGGTCTCCGAAGGATTGGAGGACCTCTCGATCTCCAGACCTGTTGAAAGACTAACCTGGGGTATTCGAGTTCCGGATGATGAGAGTCAAACGATATATGTTTGGCTTGATGCTCTAATAAACTACATTACAAAGGCTGGCTATCCATGGGCGCCTGGTCAGGAGCATGCTTTGGGATGGCCGGCCGATGTGCAAGTCATTGGGAAAGATATTGTTCGATTCCATTGCATATACTGGCCAGCATTTTTGTTAGCTCTTGATATCCAGGCCCCAAAGCAGATCCTCACACATGCTCACTGGACGTTGGGACACCAAAAGATGGCTAAATCAACAGGCAATGTTGTCAACCCATTCTTTGCCATTGACCGATATGGGGTCGATGCAATGCGATATTACCTCGCTCACGATGGTGGAATTACTGACGATTCTGATTACGGAAACCAGTTCGTCGTGGAGAGATACAAGAAGGGTCTCCAAGGAGGACTTGGTAACCTGGTCAGCAGAATCACTAGGCCCAAAATATGGAACGTTCAGGACGCAGTCCAAGCTGCCAGAGATGGAAAGCTGGAAAAGGTTGATCCAAGCATGGAAGGGCAAATTATTATGTTGGAAGAGCTTCCTCAAAAAGTCTCCGCAAAAATGGAGGAGCTTAATCCTGGAGCTGCCCTGCAAAAAATCATGGATGCAGTCTATGAGGTATAGCACCTCTCTCTTGGGGAAACGAGATTATTACTGATCGAAAAAAGACGAATAGATTCCTCCAACTGAACGAGCCATGGGCGCTGGCTAAAGCAATTAAAGAAGGCGACCTCAATCGAGGAATGGCTGCCCAATTGAGGACTAAAATTGACTGCATTGTCTACCACTGCGCCGAGGCTACTCGAATTATCGGGATTCTGTTGCAACCATACATGCCGACGAAGGCAGCCCAACTACTCGATATGCTGGGAGTCGATGAGTCGAAAAGGATGTTTGATGATGCTAAACTTGGAGCTGATTATAATTATGGTACGCCCAAGACTCCAGTGGGAAGGGACGCTTGGGAGGGATTATTTCCGCCATTGCCAGTTGATACATGAGATATGTTGTACGATTAGGATGTCTTTTGGAAGAAAGTTGCAAGAGCCGCTCCCATAGAGATTGATGGTCGGTGGAGAGTAGATGCGATACCCCTTGAACAATGAAAGTTAATTCGGTAAGTTTAAATGTTGAGCCTTCTCGTAACGAGCAAGGCCAGCAAGTGGCTGAGTTTCTTAATAAGTATCAATTTTTAGTACACTTGGGGTAAGCAAAAAGTTCAGAACGTTTTGCCAACCTTCGAAAAAGGTGGCGAAGGAAGGGACCACGCGCCTCCGGTTAGTCGTGAGACCCCGAAATCTGGGCCGAAAATCAGACCCCCAATTACTTTCTTTAACAGCCAGCACACTTAGGTTCCCTTAAAAATAACATCAATTAATGCGCAGTCTATAGGATTGCCCTCAATCAAATTCTAAAAACTTGATTGTCACTGCTATGGAAGTTAATATAAAAAACATTGATTTTCGGCCCGGATTTCGGTGTATCACGACTAACCGGAGGCGCGTGTGGGGAGAGTCGTAACGGAAAACGCAGATTTGAAAAATTAATGTACAATGGATCTACGCATGAAATTGAGATGGCTGCGGAATGTGGGGAACACGCAAGAGCAATCAACTATTTCCGCGTAATTCGAGTTATTGGTTGTATGGAAATGTTTGAGGGCTCTTGGAAACGTGCCACTCTGTGTTGACATCGTGCTGAGTGCCGGAGTTTAGCCGGCGTACGAGGCCCTTGTAGCAGCCTTGTAGCGAGGACAGATCTATCGACGACCCGTCCATCAGAACTTTTTTCCGTTTCAGAGCAAAGTGGTGTATCCTGCCAACCAGTTCCATCTATTCATTCCTCTTTAGCTTGAGTGACAAGATGGATATTCTCCAAGCACGTCATTTATCGATACTTCAAGTCAAGACAAAGCTAACTGGTTGCAGCGCCTCGCTCATTTCCTCGATCGACCTCTCTTCCCTTGGAAGAAGCTCATCATCGGCTTTTCTTTAGGCCAATATGTCTTCGAAGGGTTTCTGTCTCTCCGCCAGTACCAGATCCTAAGGCAAACTCGTCCACCAAAGGTTCTCGAGAACGAGGTTTCGCAGGAAGTGTTTGACAAGAGTCAAGTACGTCAGGCTGCAGATTAAATCAAGAAGTAGAACTGACCCGCGGCAGTCTTATGGACGCGCCAAAGCCAAGTACAGCCTTTTCAGCGGCCTCTACGGCCAAATCCAAAACACTGCATTCATCTACTACGACGTTCTACCTAAGCTCTGGGTCCTGACTGGCTCATGGCTCCATCGATTCGCTCCCGAACGGTTCTCCGGCGAGATCTCACACTCAATCGTATTCGTCCTTACCTTCATAGTCATTCAACAGGTCCTCTCTCTGCCGACTTCGATATACCATACCTTCGTTCTGGAAGAGAAGTTTGGCTTTAACAAGCAGACACCTAAGTTGTTTGTGATGGATATGTTGAAGTCGCAAATGCTGGCATTTATTCTTACCCCACCCATTCTTGCTGGTTTCTTGGCCATTGTTCAGAAGACTGGAAACCAGTTCTTCTATTATCTTTGGTTGTTTGGAGCTGGTCTGCAGGTATTTATGATCACCATCTACCCGATCACGATTCTGCCTCTATTCAACAAGCTTTCTCCCCTCGAACCTGGCGACTTGAAGACCGGTGTCGAGGATCTTGCGAAGCGATTGAAGTTTCCACTGTCCGAACTCCATGTCATTGATGGTAGCAAGAGAAGTGCTCACAGTAATGCTTATTTCTTCGGTATGCCATGGAAAAAACACATTGTCATCTATGATACCCTGATTGAGAAGAGCGAAACCCAGGAGGTTGTTGCTGTTCTTGCTCACGAACTTGGTCATTGGAGTCTTGGTCACACCACAAGATTGTTTGGAATCTCTCAGGTAAGTTTTTGATTCCAAGCTAGGTGGCTATTTATTGACTCTATTAGGCCCATTTCTTGTACATCTTCGCCCTCTTTTCGGTGTTCATCAACAACAGATCCCTTTACGAATCCTTTGGCTTCCATAAGGAATTCCCTATCATAATTGGATTCATCCTCTTCTCCGACGCCCTCGCACCAATGGACACTATTATCAAGCTTTTGATGAACATCCTGAGCCGTCGCTATGAGTTCCAGGCCGATGAGTTTGCCCAGAAGCTGGGTTATTCAACTGAGCTAGCTCGTTCCTTGATCAAGTTGCAGATCCAAAATCTGAGCACAATGGATGCCGACTGGATGTATGCAAGCTACCATTTCTCCCACCCAATTCTATCTGAGAGACTTGGCGCTCTGGGTTGGTACGGAGATTCGAAGGTGGGTGTGTCGGAAAGGAAGGAGTCGAAGGACGAAAAGGTTGCAGCGCAAGCCAGTGGGCGCGAGTTGTAGAGTATACCGCAATGAAGAATTGTCAAGTCCGTCCCGCTCGCCATATTGTGTGTAGCCGTATGTAATCGTGATTGGTGTGCTTCTTATTCTGCCTTGGATCGTAGCTTTTGCATCTTCAATTTCCTTTCTTGTATCAGCCGCGCCTTCTTCTCCCTCTTCCTGGCCACCCTGTCTATTGGCTTCGACACCTTCGCAGGAGCAACATCATCCTTCGTTTTAATCTTCTTCGCCCTATGAGCCTTCGCACCCTCCTCCTCTTCACTCCCCTCACTCTCCTCCACAGCCTGCGGACCATCAAAATCGGAATCTCCCACCTCAGCAACGCCTGGTAGCCTCTCCCCGATTTCTCCGCCTTCAATACTCTGCTCTCTCTGATATTCATCCAAATCCATCCAACCTTCTGCTTCGCCCTCCTCATTGACGGCCTGTCCCTTATTCATCCCATCGTCCATTCCTTCCGCAACGGTGACAATACCCTCCTCTAAGTCCAACGTTGGCGCAAGCCATTCTCCTCGTAATCCTGCTTCCACGCGCCGTAAATTGTGGATCGTAACTGATGAGGCGCTGGATCCAGCTGTAGGCCCAGAAGATTCTAGTCGTGCATTCGGAAGCAAATACGGGGAGGTTTTAGTGGCTTCGAGGTAGTTGGAGAGGAATTTGAGGGCGATTTCTTGCGGGATCGGTATCGAGGGGATCGTGTGGTGCGGTGGAAAGGCTGACATTTTGACGAGAGTTACTTTGAACACAATTGAAATTAAGAAGTGAGACCTTCGTCCAGCTCGAGGGGTTGTTCATGAGTTGTGTTTCTCGAAACTCGAAATAACCTTTTGGAGGAAGCGGAGTTTTTCCCGCTAGCGCGGTTTTCAACAACCACAACCCCTTAAGATCATTGTCCTCGATAATCAGGCAGTCTGTCAAATTGCAATTGATCAAGATGCTGTGTCTCCGATGCTCACGAGGCCTGAGTGCCATACCTGGGCCTTCAATTGTCTCGAGGTCAGCCAGAAATCCGGTACTGAAGACGTCAGGAAAGAGGTATAATGAAGTACTCCTGAAATTCGTACAGCCAGTTAATTCCCCAGAACCTTCACATCCCTACGTGGACCCTCTCGACCGACGATATTTCCATCGTCCGCTAGTTTCAGAGCATCTCTCGCTGTTCCAACCACCACAACAAGCTCACCAGTTGGTGTCGAGGCCATGTTAGACCTCTTACAAAAGATATCGTCACATCCAGCATTAGGAGCAACACAAGTTCGCTGCGGACCTCGGGATACGTTCAGTCCGAGTCATTTTGTCAGGAAGCGGAGGCACGGATTCTTAAGTAGGATTAGGACACGGAAGGGGAGGAACACATTGGCGAGGCGGAGGGCGAAAAAGAGGAGCACTTTGAGTCATTAGAGAGGGAGAGAGAATTGATGAATGGTATTGCGCACGGCTTGTGTAGAACAGGTGGAATGTATGGCTATACTGAGATGTACATGAGGGCGGAGACAATGGACATATTCAACCTCGGCCGGGTTCCCTGAGTCCGTGGTTTGCTCGACAGGCGGCACCTGATCATCGGCTTGTTGGAATTTTGGGGGCGAGCCTGGAGTTTGTAAAGTGGATATTTTCTCGGGGGTTTCAAAGAAAACTCTTGTCATTCTGGACGTCAATTTCTTTGTGTATTATATTTCGCAGGCGCAATCAGTGCAAAGTCAACATGGTCAGTCGAGTTGTGAGTTGTATCAAACGGTGTCTTTATTGTTGGGTGAGCATCTTTCTACACATACCTTGAGCGTGCAAAATCGGGAACAGGAACTATGGCATGTCAACGCGGCCCTTGAAGGTTACACCCAACTTGAAAAGTGTCATGCTCAAAATTTGGATTCATCATTCATATCTGCGCCGAAGATTCGAGGATGAGCAGGAAATTGAAAACTCTTCAAGTAAAAGTTGGAGTCTCTCTGACATAAAGGTTACTTTTACATTACGTAATTTTCAAGCAGTATCTAAGATTTTATCGCTGATGAGCAAACCAGAAACATCACGCTCTTAAACTATATTAGTCAAACAAGATGCAAAATGTCATCGCTAGTAAATAACCAGAGATTCCAAGCTACCCCACAAATTTTTACATTACATGACGGTGAAGCCCAACAATCCATCGGCACACAGACCCGCACATCTGCACGTGAATAAGAGGCTAATCTTCTCAGTTGATTCGACAGTTAAGCAGCAGTAGGCGGTTTGGATGGCACAAGGTTGCCAGCACCTTCTCCAACTTCGAACTCCAAAGCCCCGAACTGCTCACCAACCCACTGCATTGTGCTCGTTCCATCGCCGTCAATAATATCCGTTAATCTCTCTTAGTTGGTAGCGAGGTCCGGATCAGCCCGACAGAACGCAGCTACAACGGCCCGACTTTGTTAAGTTGGCGTCTTAAGCAGGAGATTTCAGAAGAGAGGCAGCGTTTTGACCGGCCTCTCTCACAGCCATTCCGAATCCGGTATCGCAATCTGTCAAGATGGAATTGCAGACGTCGCTACCCTGTCGCTTTACTCCGGCGGACTTGAGAAGAGGAGCTGCTTTCTGACTAGCCTCTTTGACGAGCATGCCAGATCCAGTATCGACGTCTGTGAGGGTTGCGGAGGTGAGAAGGAAGTCGGTTTCTAATGACTTTTTACATACCATCACAACCCGCGCCAACACCAGCTCCTTGAGACATAGAAGCCGCAATGATTGTAGTGCAGCAAAGAATGAGGAGCGTAAGGCCCTCTGCCATCTTTGAAAAATTCATGCTGGTATTGAGGGAAGTGGAAAATGTGAAGATTATATTAGAGGCAATGATCTTGGCTGGATGTCGGCGAATTGGTTGTGCTCTTGATTCTGGAAAAACAAGGCCCTTTGCATCAGGTGCAGAACGAGAATTATATCTCAGTTGGCCTCGATGGATGTCCCATGGTGACGGATGCCCAGAGATCCTGTGTGTCTTGACTTCAAGAGGCCGAAATCCGCGCCGTCAAAAAGCGTACACATTTCCTCGTCGTCACCAAGGCTTCCGAGTGTAAGCTGGAGGACAAGACGGCATAGGACTACGGTTGAATAGATCCGAACTATCCCGTTACTTATTCAGTGAATGAAATACAGGACATAGGGGATTTTTCAAACAAGTCTGGTGGTTGGAAGGGCAAAGGGTGTTCGTGGCGTGCGGGAACTGAAAAAAGAGAAGCCATCGACATTATGCATCGCCAGTCAGAACATTTGATCTACAAAGAGAAGTCCGGATACAACTAGCAAGCTCGTCAGCCTCTCTCGTTGGAGTTCATATGGACGTCAATTTTACGCAGGGGCTGTTTCTCCGAAAAGAATGGGTGCGTTAAGGGACGACTGAGGGTCCTTGCGTAGAATTAGACTTTAGAAACGTGGCTCAATTGAGGTTCTAGCGCCGATGGCTTGGAACCATCTCATCTGTGGCGTCACCCGGAAGAGCTTCTACCAGGTTAATTTCAAACAGGCTTCATTAAGCTTTTGGAAAGTTTGGTATCATCCGCATCATCGTCCGTAAAGACCAATCAGAAGGAGTACCAGAGTTCAGGAATGACTAAATTCCGATGGTTTGGTAGAAGAGACGTAGATGACTTTTGGCTACCCCCCCCCCCCTAATTAAATGTAACAATTGGTCAAAGTGCAGGGGTTTTTTTTGTCTGGCAACTGGTGCCAGGCTGGTTTTGCGGGGACCCACTATTACATTTATTTAGGGGGGAGGAGTATGTTGAGATAGCTCCCGTCCTCACAGGGTTCGACAGCTCTGCTAGACAGCCAGCTGGTTGAAATTCGTGGTTAAGGTTGGGGAAACAGTCGGGGAGAGAGACTTGTTGGCCCTTCCTGTCTGAGATGATGCTACCCCAAGGCGCAATGGGCCGTGGTCAGCTGGTATGACTTGACTGCTTTGCGACAAGGAATTGGCATATGGAGTGAGCAAGTCGAGCGGTATTATATTGCCATTGCGATGATAAAAAACTTCGAAGAAATCATCGTCATCGTGCATTTGTTTACGAAGCCGGGCGGCGTTGAAAACCGACCAGCTGTCAAAACACGTGAAGACCAAAACCGCTTCGATTAGAAAATTACACCGAATCTCGACGGAATCACCAAAATGTTTTAAACGTGTTTGCGTAACAGAAAAGAAATAGATCTAAAATAACTAGGCTTCGTGGAATTTTACGACAATTAAATTTGAGGCAGAATTATAAGAATTTCTGTGTGGCGAGGGTCAAGATTATGCGGGTCCTCGTTAAGCGAATTGGACGAGGTTCAACCCGCGCCTTTTCGTACTCATCTTACAACACTGCAAGCTCAATGACTAAACCAGAACACACCGAAACGTGGAAAAGGGACGTCTGTTGAGGAATATAATTCGTTGCGGCGATCTAAATCAGCTCCTATTCTCAGATCATAGGGTTAAGGCCTCGAGAAGAAAAGCTGAGTCTTAAAATTACAAAATAGAAAACTGAATAGGGGCTGGGGTTGGACCGCGACGACTCAACACCTCGTTGTGGTGCGGTCTGGTAACCTGTAGTAGTCGGTCCACGGACTATTTGCTCCTCTGGAGTATAAAGCTAGGATTGAGTCCCGATCTAATAATAGCAAATCTCCTCCTTACTATTGCCACTGCTCTGACTCGAATCGACTTCTCTCCTCGGCTCGAGATACCGTATTTCTTCTATTATGTTGAGAAGACAGGTCACATGGTGTCACGTGCAGATGTGGCACTGTCGCGTAGACTAGCGAGATTGCAGCTCCATAAGAGTCTGCGATCTCCCTTCCTCTTCTTCTCTCTTTAGTCAATATAATCGAGTCTCTTCCCCTGCCTCTGCTCCTGCTGTGCTATTCCCTTATCAGGTCATACCAGACTACCAGATCAGGGCCGCTTCGCTAAAATTCAAGCCTGGCGGCCCTACGCAAGCTCCGGGGCCAGTCTTTAATTTTGCCCTGACCTCGATTCGAGATTAAGAGGGCACGTGACTTCCTTATAATAAAGCTCTCTTATTACTTATAGGCTTTCTAAGCCTTATACCCACTTATAAAGCTCTCTCTCTCTCTCTTTATTAACTGCCATACTTTTTAATTATATTTATAAAGCTCTCCCTTCTCTTTTATAAGCCCTTCCAAGGCTCACTTCTATTTGCAAAGCTATTTACCCCTCTTTACGGGCCATTCTAAGTGTGACGGCAGGAACAGAGCAATGGAACGAGGCTCAAAGATCAATGATTTCCTATGTCTTGAGAATTTAAAGCTAAGGAGGAAGGAGTGAGGTGTGGCAGTGGATAAGTAGGTATGGCTAAGACCACTGAAACACCGAGCTTTGGAAGCGAGCTTGGTTTGAACCATAGCTTGGAACCTTAGCTGAAACCAACCATGTGACACCAGCCGTCACACTAAGCCTCACTCTTATTCGTAAAGCTCTTTACTTCTCTTTACAAACTGCCAGAACCTTTAATTATATCCGTAAAGCTCTCTCTTCTCTATTATAAGCCCTTTTAAGCTCTTTCTCTTACTTGTAAAACCTTTTCCTTATTAAATATAGCCACATTGCGCTTGCAAGCTCGTACTAATGTAACGTATAAGCGTGAGGAAAATTAGTTTTTAAGAGCTTTTATTTAAATATTTAGCTTTTTGCTTTGTATATCGGGCCCGGTTTGCTTTTTTATTCCGCTCCCGGTACGCATTATACGTAAAGAACCGGCCAAAATCTATAAGAGGCTTTTTTTGATTGCAAGAGGAGCAATACTGCTCTTGCGGGCCCTCCCAAGCCTCACTCGCACCCGCAAGCCCCTTACCACCCGTACTTTCACCCGCAACTCCTTCCCAAGTCTTACTCCTACTTATATCCCTACTTATAGGGCCCTCCCTTCCCTCCCAAGCCTTACTCCTATTCGCAGAGCTCTCCCTTTCCTCTCGCGGACCCTCCCAAGCCTTACTCGCGCCCGCAAAGCTCCCTCCCTCTCGCGGGCCCTCCCAAGCCTCATTCTTATCCGGAAACCCCCCCCAGCCATCCTGCAAGCCCGTAGAGCTCCCTTCCTCGTCCGTCAAGCCTTCTTAGCTCTCCTCCCGGTCTATATCCCCCCTCTCCTCCCCTTGCAAGCCCTCTGCCAAGCTCTCCTCTATTCGCAAACCCTCCCTTCTCTCCTGCAAACCGCTATAGCCGCTACCCATACTCGTAAAGCCCTTCATTTTCTCCTACGGGCCCTTCTTATTTGTCCAACCCTCCCAATACCGATACGGGCTATCCCAGTGCCACTTTATAGCCCTAGCATATTCCCTCTTCTTATAAAAGGCCGTACGAAGCTCTGGCAGATCTATAGGGCCTTCCCCCTCCTTTGGAACACCTTTCCAGCTCTCCTCCAAGACCGTAA